CTGCTCTGCCTTTCAAATAAATAAGTACATAAATAATTTTTTAAAATCTGCTAGCAATTATTATCTTTTCATTTGATTATCATTTATAGCCCCTGCCTAAATTTCTGCTGAACTAGGGTCTTTACTTGCTATTTAGTGGAGCATTAAGCCTTTGACTATAAGGTAAATTAAAAATACGTTATCTCAAAAACTTACAAAGAAACAAAGAAAGGAGAGGGAGGGAAGTATTATATTCTTCAAGTTGTATCTATGAACTATGTCAAATCTGTTCTCTTTGTTTTAATATCTCATTAGCATAAGCATTGAGAAAAAATAAAAATAAATATCTTGATCTTTACCTTGATCTTTATCCTGAACTTAAATGAATATTTCAACTTTCCATTCCCCTTTGGATTTATATGTTATTATTTTTCAGAACTTCATTTGATCTTAGTTTTTAACCCCTTGAATTAAACATTAGAGTATATGCTTTACATGATTAACTTTTGTTTAGATTCCCACAAGTTTTTCATTGTTTTTCCCCCACCATTCTTTTTTGCATCCCTTATTTTCCTTACTTTTAGTTCTCTCAGGAAGGGTGCTACCTTTCAAGATCATAGATTTAAGAATCTCTGATCCAGTCTTCCACTCTGCTTGAGCCTTCAGCTTTATCTCTCTCTTTTTTTTTTTTTTTTTGACAGGCAGAGTGGATAGTGAGAGAGAGAGACAGAGAGAAAGGTCTTCCTTTGCCGTTGGTTCACCCTCCAATGGCCGCTGCGGCCGGCGCGCTGAGGCCGTCGCACCGCACTGATCCGATGGCAGGAGCCAGGTACTTCTCCTGGTCTCCCATGGGGTGCAGGGCCCAAGCACCTGGGCCATCCTCCACTGCACTCCCCTGGCCCACAGCAAGAGGGCTGGCCTGGAAGAGGGGCAACCGGGACAGAATCCGGCGCCCCGACCGGGACTAGAACCCGGTGTGCCGGTGCCGCAAGGCGGAGTATTAGCCTAGTGAGCCACGCCGGCCCAGCTTTATCTCCTAACCTGAGTCCACACCCTTTTTACACCAAGCAACTCACTGCCAGGTACCAGCACAAGCCCTCAAGGCAGAATTTGAGTTGCTTATGCTTATGGAGTCAAGCATCCTTGCCATTTCAACCTCTGAGTGTTTCCCTTAATTTCCTGCCAGCTCAACAATGTTTTCAATAAATATTTTAAATATAATGTCTAGAATTTTTATCTGACCAGGAAGTTTTTCTTTGAAGATCGTTCTATATTGTTCTCTGAATGTCCTTAGGTAACTTATTTAGTATTCATATTCTCTGAAATGATTTCATATAATTGTTCTATTTACTAGGTATGCTCCATTAGTAAAAAATATCACTGAAAAAGCTATTTAGAAATGGAATTGGTTAAGAACGGCTAGTCACAAAATGACTTCTTTTGCTTATCATATATATTTTACATAAGATGATGCATTTCCTAAAGACTACTTTTTTCTGAATTTTAAGTATAAATACTTCTCCAGTATAATATATATTTGCCTCAACATCTTATTATGAAAATTTTGCAAACATACAGCAAAGTTGAAGGAACACATACGTATCTCCTCAATTATGTCATTATCACCTTACAATATTATTTTATCATCTATCCATCCATTCATCCATCCATTTATCCATTTATCCATCAGCTCATTTTATTCTTTGTTGCACTGTAAAGGAAAATGAAAACATCTTCACATTTCTCAAGGGAGACTTCATAAACATAGTATTTTTGTTACTAGATAAAAAAAATTTGCTGTTCCAAATGTTTGCTTATTATTTTATAAACCTTTTAAAAGCATGACTCTCTGTGCCATAGTCACATAAAATCATTTGTGTCAGAAAAAGTAGTCTTATAGTTAGGAAGGGAAAAAAATAAGTAAAAGTGAATTAAGATGAACTCTTTACAATACATTTTCATGTTAATAAACTAAGCTTCATTTGAAATGTTTTTCCTTTCATTTCCTCAATACTTAGGAATTCCTATTATACTTTTTTTGTTTATAATGGAATGGTCTCATTTGTTAATACTTCTCTATTTAGCACTTCAGTAACTATTTAATTTCATGGATACAGAAAGGTGAACAATTGTATTCTCAACTTAGGTGAGGCAGAATTGTATTTGCTTTCTTTTCTTTTAAGACTTACTTATTTTATTTGAAAGAGAGAGTTACAGAAAGAGGAGGACAGAGAGAGATCTTCCATCCACTGGTTCACTCCCCAAATGGCAGCATCTGGCTGGGCTGGTCTGAAGCCGGGAACCAGGAGCCCAGGAACTTCTTTTGGGTCTCCCATGTTGGTGCAGAGGCCCAAGAACTTGGGCGCTTCTGCTGCTGCTTTCCCAGGCGCATCAGCAGGGAGCTGGATCAGAAGTAGAGCAGCCAAGACTCCAACTGGCAACCATATGGGATGCCAGCACTGTAGGCAGCTTACCCCTATACGCTGCAGGGCTGGCCTCAGTAATTGCTTCCCGCAGCTAAGTGCCTTCCAAATTACTGATTGAATGAACTTGACCATATCATCTCCTTAAAACTTAGTATAATAAACATTTTACTTAACAAGTATATTAAGATTATGCTTCTACTGCTTTCTGTCTTTACTGTTAGGAGCAATTATTTTTATTTCTAGAGAAATTTTCTTTATGAAAATTGGTCAGTTTGAACATATACAAAAGATACAAGGAAAAGACATGAGAAGTACATTTTTAAGTTCAGATTTCTTTGAATCTGAAGGAAAGCTATCAGGTAATTTTTTATATTTGCTAAAGACTGAAACATAAAAAGATGTCCATGGAATTCCTCTACTGTCAAGACAAAACCAAAATTGTAAATAAAACATTTTAACAATCTTTAACTTAAAATTGCTTATGATGTGGGGCCAGCATTGTGGTAGAGCTGACTGAGCCACCATCTGGGACACCAGCATCCCATATCAGAGTGCTGGTTCCAATACAGGCTACTCCTTTTCCAATTCAGCCTCCTGCCTGGGAAGAGAGCTAAAGATGGCCCAAATACTTGGGCCCTGCACCCATGGGGAAATCAGGATGGAGCTCCTGGCTCTTGGCTTCAGCCTGGCTCCTAGCTTCAACATGGCTCTGACCTGGTTGCTGAGGCCATTTGAGGAGTGAACCCTTCCCCTTCCCCTTCCCCTCCCTCTCTCCCTTTCCCTCCCCCTCCTCCTCTTCTCTCTCTCTAGCTTTGCTTTTCAAATAAATAAATAAATGAGTTTTTAAATAATTCTTATCATGGTCTTTACTGTTTAGGATGATTATATCATCTAATAACTTTTTCAGATTATTAAAATAATCACTAGCCTAAAGACAATTCTAGCCTTCACAAATACAAAAGGACATTTGGCTTTTTTTTTATCACCCCCAGGCAGGAGAAATTCTGGCAGCAGATTAAACAAATGATTGATTTTAACTTAAGCTATCTCGTTTAATTTCTTCTTTCTAAAAAAAATTCTACTTATCTGAAAGGCAGTGTGACAGAGAGAGCAAGAGTGAGAGCATATGCATGAGACAGGGAGATCTTTCATCTGTTGGTTCACTCCCCAAAGGGCTGCAAGAGTCAGGATTGGGCCAGACTGAAGTCAGGAACCTAGAACTCCATCTGCATCTCCCATGTGGGTGGCAGAAGCTTAAGTGCTTGGCATCTTCCACTGCTTTCCTAGACAAATTAGCAGGGAGCTGGGTTAGAAGTGGAGCAGCTGTAACTTGAACCAGTGCGCATGTGGGATGTACCACAACACCATCTCCTCATTTTATTTCTTGTAAATTTACTTTTCTTTTTCATAATGCTATGTATAACCTACTAGCAAAAAAACTATTAAGGTGCTGATGTTGTGGTATAGTGGGTAAAGCCACCACCTGTAATGACAGCATCTCACGTGGGCACTGGTTCAAGTCCCAGCTGCTCTACTTCCAAAACAGATCTGTGCTAATATGTCTTAGAAAAGAAGCATAAGATAGCCCAAGGGTTTGACCCTTGCCACCCCCGTGGGAGACCCGGATAAAGCTCCTGGCTTCAACCCATCCCAGTGCCTGCCATAGCAGCCATCTTGGGAGTGAACCAGTGGATGAAACATCTCTGTCTCTCCCTCTTTCTGTTACTATGACTTTCAAAATAAATAAATCTTTTTTCCTTAAAACAAGAATAAACACTCATTGTAACTGAAATAGAAAGCACTCAAAAAGAGAAACATGACAAACTAGAAAACCCCAATGGAAAATATTCAATTCCAGATGAAAAGCTAGAATCTAATAATAGTCACATCATCAAAGTACATCCAATAACTAACTAGAAAACTGCATATGAGGACGGCCAATGAAGAAAAAAAATTGCACATTAGAATATGAGCTTCCAAGGGCCAATATAAGGGTTATAAAACATGATGCTTATAGAAAAATAACTTCATGAAATTAGAGAGGTTGGAGACAAAGTGAAGACACTACGTTACCTACAAAATGTCTTTTTCATTCATGTTCATTTTGGGAGCTCTACAGACACGATACAAATTCATTAATTATCCTCAGAAATAAAAAACATTAGATATGGTGAAGCTCCAACTTCCTACATTATATGAGAGGACAATGCACAAAATTTCTACAGTAATTCTGAAAGCAAAGGAAACCAATTACTGTCCCAGAGCTTTATCGCAATTCATACTTTTAGTTAAAAATGAAAATATTTCTCTAGTGCCAGGAATATATTTATACTGACTTTACATAGCTGGTATTTTGCTTTCATATTAAAGTAGAAGGTATATTAAGGAATACTGATAATGTAAAATCCTAAACAATAATCAAATATTTCCTTAATAGGAAAACTGAACAAAGAATACCAAGAAAAGTTTGTTTTTCTTCAAGAGTTAGACTATTAGTAAACAGTCATGTTATACAGAGTATGCTAATTAAAGAAGTTGACCCCTGAAATATGTAACTTTTAACACAACCTTAATCAATCCAAAAGTATCATTCACCTGAGCAAGTGATGGAAGAATCTCCTTGCATATTTGCTGATTTGGTCTCTATATTCCAAAACAGTTGAATCCAGAAGTGGTCTTGTTGGAGCATAGAAGGTTCCAAGGCTTGCCTCAAGCTGTGCTGTGGAATTCAAACATAGCAGCGTTAAAACAAGTGAAACTCCTTCAATTACAACAGAATACTCATGTTTGCAGTCAGTCAGGTTTTGCAAACTTGGATGAAATGTGAGCTTGTTGCAGGAAAGACGAAATTAAAATATGACAGCTGGTACAAAAACAAACCTATGTATAAACTTTCACTTGAGGCAAAGCTGACAATGACTCTGAGCAACAAAAAGCTGTCAAAACTGAAGAAATCCATAATGAACCAACCTCTCACCACAAATGGGTAATTAAAACAGTGACTCATCAAAGTAACACAGTTTGAACTAGTATTTCCAGTAAAAGCAACTCACAGTGTGCTCAACATTTACTATCTTTAGCTGAAAGGAGATAACTAACCTTTTTCACACTGGAAATTGCAATCAGTATAGTAGAAATGTTTCTAAAAATAATTCAAATTAAAAAATGGTCTAATTGTAGGAAGAACAACTGTCACAATTTTAAAAGAACAGTGGAGTCCCTAGATCTTCCTCTCTAAATACTACCCTAAATAAGATTCTTGGTTTTGTCCAGGGGTGAAAGTTAACACCCCAAAGAGGGAGAGAAAAGGACTGGAGAGCAAGTTTTGATAAACCAGAGGACTAGAGAATAGGAAAGAAGGCACATTTTATCTACTTCACAATGTTATCAGACATGCCTATGAAGATGTGCCTCTTCCCAGCAATACCTGAAAGTTAAGCAATTACCATAATGGTGAGAGTAGGAGTATGTATGGGAACACCACAGCAGCTCACAGTAAGACTCTTCAGATTCTTATGCTACCAGCACTGGGTTGAATAAACAATTCTTTATTTAGCAAAACTCTTCAGGTTTAGGCATATTTGGGTTTGAAAGTATTAAATACCTCATCAGAGTAATTGCTATGCAGTTGGCAAAGCTGTTGGTAATTTCGTTTTAAATCTCAAATCTAGACAGTAAAGTAAGATGAACTTTAGGGGTATTTTCTTTCAAAGCAGCAGTCAATTTAGATTAAAATTGAATACAGCAAAGCTATTGTGAAAACAAGCCAGATTCTCTTGCCATTGCTTGTTTTCTTGACAGCATGTTTCGTATATCTGAAATGTTCGAACCTACATGGAATACACATAACTCCCAGCACAGTTACAGATTCATTAGATAGCCCAGCTTGATGTTTAAGGCAGAAATGAAGATCTCAAAGATAACCACAACACAGCTACAAATAAAAGCTCACTGGGTTCCACTAATAAAAGGAATACAAATTACCATGTCAAATTTGTTAGATTCAGACAGAATAAATCTCAACAGAAAAGAATTCTGAATGTTTTAGAAATGTGTTTTTGCAGTTACTTGGGGGGAAATGCACATATCTACTTAAAATGCACATATTCTGATAACCCAGCATCACAAAAGCATTTTATTTTAATAGCCTAGTATCATACAAGCTTTTTATTTTGCTATCTCCCCAATATGGTCCTTTGAAAATATTCTTTATTAAGGCAAGAATCTGATAATGTCCATTTGTTTATTCCCTAATAATCTTTGTTACAACACAGTAATCTTACAACAAAAATTCACTAAGGTGCTAGTGATTTCTCAGGGTCCTGACAGTCAACATTTTATCTTTTCCAAAATTCTTCTTGAATTGTAAATGAAAGATATCTTATATAGATTGCATGAATCATAATGGGTTTTCTTTAGGGATGTTCCCAATTTTGACAATGTATTAATACTAAAAAATAATTATCTGAGACAACTCTTTAAGCAGAAATATTACAATAATACCTTGTTACCTAAAATCTTGTTGTTATAAATTTTTAAGATTTACTCATTTATTTATTTATTTGAAAGGCAGAGTTACAGAGAGGCAGAGGCAGAGAGAGGTCCAAAGGTCCTCTATCCACTGGTTCACTCCCCAAATGACTGCAATGGCCAGAGCTGGGCCAATTCAAAGCCAGGAGCTTCTTTCAGGTATCCCATGTGGGTGCAGGGGCCCAAAGACTTGGGCCATTTTCCACTGCTTTCCAGGACATAGCAGAGAGCTGGATCAGAAGTGGAGCAGCCAGAATCCAAACCCGGCCCATATAGGATGCTGGTGCCACAGGTGGTAGCTTTACCTGCTATTCCTCAGCGCCAGCATCCCCATTATAATCTTTTAAACACATTCATTGAATACTTATGTGGGCCAACCCCTGTGTTGGCATTTTCTCATTGTAGAAATCTTGGATCTACATAGTTGCATTTGGACTACCTCTTAAAAGCTCATTCAATTAATATTAAATAAATATTTATTATGTGTGTTCTGTGAGTTGGGCCAAGTTCCTGGAGGAGCTGAACTACAATGAGATGTCCTCTCTACTAAACTGAAAGTTATTTCCAGAATTTTATCCAAATGACATGCTGTCCATTTTGGAAATGTAGTAAAATGGAACAAGAATATGAAAATGCAAAAAAAATGGTTAAGAAAGAAAAATATCCCTAGTAAGGACCTTTTGACATATTTCTGATTTTCCCTATCTTGTAAATTACATAAAGCAATTTCTCATTGGCTATGATTTCTAACTATTAATACCAATATTTATCACAACTATATGAAATAAAGATGCAAGTGCTAGAATGTCTAGATGCATTTTAAATTAAATAAGAAAAAATAAACTAGATATTTGGCAAATATACAGATATATTTCACCACTATATGTGACATATTCTCCTACCCTCTCCCTTTTAAACAATTTCCAATCTATCTTTTGAAAATAAACATCTGAGATCCCTATGGGAAAAATTCCCTACTGAGCAAAGATAGAGAAATCCAAGACAGGCAGAAGGGGAGGGATATCGGAACTACAGAATAGAGGAAGGAAAGCAAAAAGGAACAGCCTGACTACAATTCTGACACACATTTTAAAAGTGAGTATTAAGGACTATACCTGGATAGACGAGTTGGGGTGACAAAAAAAAAAATAAAATAAAATACACATGATGTCTCATGTGAGAGAGGAAGGAATAGACACTTTTTTCTACCAGACCCCAGAGTATATGAAATTTTGATCAGTTGGAAATCTGGACATATTCCACATGTGAAGTTAGACTGAATTTTACAATGACTGCATTGTGAGATCCAACATAAGCATATACAGAAAAGCTGTTCTTTATGTTGACAAATACTATACAGTAAAAACCATATGAAAGCAATTATTTGATATTTGATCAACACTAACATTTTTGTCATTCAATCTTCAGTGTCGTAATTCAAAGATATTTTCAAAAGATTCAATAAAATGTACTTCATGCATATTCAGAGCCCATTTATGAAATATATTTCAAGTCTGACCTTCTCTCTCTGGAGTAAGCTTTTGTCTGAGAAGGTGGTTTACAATGGCACTCATGCTGATAAAGCACTGGTGGCCCACAGTGTCCCAGTTCATGCTGCTCAGGATGTTAATTGCCTCACAGATCTCATCGCAGTGAATGTACTGAAAGATGATGTCTACCAGGCCCAGCTGTCCTCGAGTGAAGACACCTGTGACAAAATATGTAAAACTGTTAATCTTTTAAAATAAAGAGAGTAACTGAAACAGAGTTAACTTTTCCATAAAGGAAGGAAAACAGTACTAATTTTTTACATAAGGTGCTAGAAATATGGAACTGATTCCCTTCACACCTAATACTTGCTATGAAGTATCTTGGCATAACATAAACACATTTGTTTATTCTTTTAACATAAGAGAAAACCAATTTTAATGTTAGAGTATTAAACAAAAATTGGGGGAAAAGCATTCTTTTCTGGTTTTATTTTATCATCTTTTATCAAATAAGGCTGATTTCATCTGAAATTAACAATTTTACTAACAATTTCTGTGTACAAAAATGACAAAAGCACTTAGGCTTTAAAACAAGCTTTTGTTCTGCTTTGTTTCCTAATCTTTTAAAAACTAGCTGGCCGCAAAATCTTTTTTTCTTCAGCCAATCTACAAAAATTTCACAGTACAAATAATCATAAAGCTAAATGAGGAAATGTGAAATTACTTTGTAAGTTAGTAGTATAAAATATTACCACAATTCTTTTATTACTATAACCATTATCATTGAACAGGAATGATTATAGGCTTCAGGATTTTTAAAAAAATATATTAGTTCATGAGAAAGATGCTGAAATTCTTCATACTAACTTCAAGTCACATCAAAATGAAAACTTGTGCTATTTAACAGGACTCAACTTGATAGGGAATCTGGGGAATTGCCCTAATTGTATTAAGTAGTAAAACTACTATTCCTTTTGTGTTGGGAAAAAAATCAACAAATGTGACTACCCGAAAATCTTTATGAGGCTGTAATCAAGCACTGGAAGTCCTCATAAATCAGGGTGGCTTCTTGGCAGTAGATATTAATGTGTAGGAACTTTTCAGAAAGATCTGAAATCTGTTGACTCCATCTATACCTTAAGCAATACTTCTAGTAGCAACAGAAAGAAATGATCTGTTGGGAAAAAAAGCTAGTATACACTCATAACCAAATAGTTCAAAGATGATAAAGACAAAGTCTTAAAAAAAAAAAAACCACATTGAAAAAAAGATACATGACTAAAGAGAAACAAAGATACAGGTGATTGCAGAGTTTGCATCTCAATTTATGCAAGCTGGAAAACCTTTTTCAAGAGCTAAAAGGTAAAGTAAATTAACCCTTGTAATTAAGGATCCAAAACTGATGAAGAAACAATTCTTAAATGCACCTAATTACAGTGCTCTAAAATAATATAACAAAAAGAGAAAAAGGACAGAACTAAAAAGATAAATAGAGCAACATTTTTAGTTTAAGATTTTAGTACTTCTTTTCACTAGTCAGTAGAACTAAGCAGAAAATCTGCAAAATCAAAAAATATTTGAAAAACATAGCCATGAATTTGACTTAATGAACATTTACAAAACACTTCATTCAAGGACAAAAAAACACACTTTTTTTTTTTTTTTTTTGACAGGCAGAGTGGACAGTGAGAGAGAGAGACAGAGAGAAAGGTCTTCCTTTGCCGTTGGTTCACCCTCCAGTGGCCGCCGCGGCCGGCGCGCTGTGGCCGGCGCACCGCGCTGATCCGATGGCAGGAGCCAGGAGCCAGGTGCTTATCCTGGTCTCCCATGGGGTACAGGGCCCAAGCACCTGGGCCATCCTCCACTGCACTCCCTGGCCACAGCAGAGAGCTGGCCTGGAAGAGGGGCAACCGGGACAGAATCCGGCGCCCCAACCGGGACTAGAACCTGGTGTGCCGGCGCCGCTAGGCGGAGGATTAGCCTAGTGAGCCGTGGCGCCGGCCAAAACACACATTTTTTAAAGTGCACACAAAACATTAACCAAGATAGAGCATATTATGGGAAATAAATTAAGCCTTCATATATTTCAAAGTTTTAAAATCATACAGAGTAGGTTCACCGACTAAAATAGAATTAAGTTAGATATCCTATAATAGAATTAAATTAGATATAAATAATAGAAATATATCTTAAAAATCCCCAAATTTTTAGAAGTTAAGCAATATGTTTTTAAATAACCTCTGGTTCATAAAAGAATCACTAAGTATATTAGAAAATATTTTGAATTGAATTAAAATAAAAATATAACACATCAAAATTTTTGAGATGTAACTTTTACATTGATTAGAGGAAAATTTCTAGCTTTAAATATTTCAATTACAAAAGAATAAAAGTCTGAAATCAGCAATCCAATCTTCCACATTAAGAACCCAGGGAGGGGCCACGGCTGTGGCACAGAGGGTAAAACTGCCATCTGCAACTTCAGCATCCCATATGGGTGTGAGTCCAAAACCTGGCTGTTGTACTTCTGACCCAGCTCCCTGCTAATGTTTCTGGAAAACCAGCAGATGGCCCAAGTGCTCTAGCTCCAGCCATTACAGCCATTTGGGGAGTGAACCAGAGGATAGAAGGTATCGGTATCTCTCTTTCTCTCTCTCTCTGGTAATTGACTTTCAAATAAATAAATAAATACATCTCTAAAAAACAGAAAATAACCTAGGAAAGGGTGGGCGTTGTGGCAGAGGGGGTTCAGGAACCTCTTTTAAGATGCTCACATCCCAGATTGGAGTACCTGGGATCAAGTCTCACTTGTGCATCTGATCTAGCTTTCTACTAATGTACACCCTAGGAAGACAGCAAATGATGGCCCAGATACTGGGTTCCTGCTACCCACTTGGGAGACCTAGGCTCCTGACATTAGTCTGCCCCAGCCCAGCTACTACAAACATTTGGGGAGTGAACCAACAGATGAAAGATCTCTCTCTTTCCCTCTGTCTTCTTCTCCCTCTCCCTGTCACTCTCCCTTTCAAATAAATAAATAAATCTTTAAAAAGAAAAAAGAAACATGGCGAGGGGGAGATTTAGGCTATTCTCTGAATGAGTTGACGATGAATGCCAGCAGACTTGGATCTCAGCTAAAGGACATTAGTCCAATTACCGAACTTCCAGCAAGTGGGCCTTTTCAAAGTCATGATCTTCTTTGGAAAGGCTTTTCTTTCTGCAAAATGAACTTTTACTCAGTTGCCCTCTTGAATTATCAGGAAAAAAAAATTTCAGCTTAATCAAGATAAAATGAATTTTCCCAGAGAAACATTCAGAGTCTATTCTACTAAAATTATAAATGGAATTCAAAGCAGTGAAGCAGGTTCAGAGTCTTCCATTCCTTATGAGCTCAAACCATACAATGGGTATTTTGAGAGGTAATGATGAGAAAAATAGATTTCAAGATATCCTTAATGATCCACCACAGGAGAACTACAATTGATGATGGAACATAAATATACTGTAATACAATACCCTGTTCATGAAAGGAAAAGGGCTGCATTTTATTGATATTTGTCTTCTTACTATAATTTGATGTTTGTAATATCAAAAATACTGACACATAAAAAAGAACCCAACAACCCAAGAAAGAAGAGCAAATTAGACTCGAAATAAAAACATAGCAGGAAAAAAGTAATAAAGATAATAAATAGAAAATACAGAAAAATCAGTAAACTGATTTTTGAACAGAAACTGGTTCTTTGAAAAGATCAATAAGATTAAGAATCTTTTGCCTAAATTGAGAAAGAAAAGATAACACAATTACCAATATCTAGAACAATCGCCCTAAAACTATAAACACATATAACTTTATACAAACAAAACATAACTTAAATGAAATAGATTTATTCCAAGGCCCAAGCTAGTCAAAACTCACTCATGAGAAGAGGTAATAGATTGCCTGAAAAGTTTTACATCATTTAAATTTGAGCCCAGTGTTTAAAAACCCTGAAACATACACACATATGTCCAGATGACCTCACTGGTAAATTCTGTTAAATTAAAAGAATACTATAAACTATACACAACTCAAACTTTAAGAGCAAGGGAGTACCTTTCTGTGGGGAGCAATTCGGACTATACTGTTACTGGAATTAAGATTTATTCTATGCATCTGCTCTCCCACAATATGGCGCTGGGAGAGAAGTAAACAGCTTCTACCCAGCTGCCTCTCACCAACTTGACAAGCTGCAGGAGCTGCTCCTGATTGGAGGAGAGCGGCGTACTCGGCGTGTGGGCAGCCGAGTTGGGATTGGTGGAGAGGACTATATAGGAGGAGAGAGACGGCATGGTGGTGTGGGTTGGTTGGAGAGTGCGTTGGAGAGTTCGCGGGGAAGTTCGTTACTTCGTTCTTTCTCATTTCTCTCTACTCATTCTTGCTTTGGGAGTTTGCTGTTTACTTATTCTTACTTTACTATAGAAAGGACTTGTAAAAAAAAGGGAACAACAAGCGCCCGGTCCGGTGCGGCTCCTCCGCGTGCGGAGGAGCAGCACCTTTCAGTTTATTTTGTAAGATTAGCGTTATTCTGACAGCAAAAATCACAAAGATATTATAAGAAAATAGGGGACCAGCACAGTGACACAATCAGTTAAGCTAACAATTATGATTCTGGCATCCTATACTGGAGCGCTGGTTTGAGTTCCAGCTATTCTGCTTCTGATCTAGCTTCCTGTTAATGCACCTGGGAGAGCAACAGCAAATGGCCCAATAGTTGAGCCTCAGCCACCCACATAGGAGATAGGCTGCTGGCTTTAACCTTGCTCAGCCTGGCTGTTTGGGGAATCAACCAGCTGATAAAAGAACTCTGTCTGTCTGCTGTCTCTTTTTCTCTGTCACTCTACTTTCAAATAAATACATCTTTTAAAAAAGAAGAAAAAACAAAAACACAGATCAATATCCCTATAAACGAATATAAAAAGCTGCAAAAACATATTGGTAAATCCAGAAATATATAATAAAAGATTTAAAACATCACGAAAAAACGAGATATCACAAATGCCAGACTGGCGAGATAACCAAACAAGCATGCAAAGAGCATGCCTGCTCTTCTATAGGAAGAACCAGAACAACAAATTGCATTTCAAGGTAAGTGGCCAAGAAAGAATCCTGGAAGTTAGCAAGGGAGAAACAGAAGCCCTGTAAGACATAGAGATCTGGGATAGTGGCATAGAAAGT